AGTTATAAAGGGGCTTGGTTAGTGGGATAAAATTTTAATGACATTACCATGTTATCCGAAGAATTTGGAGGCAGAACAGTAAGCATTTCTAGAACATCTACGATTTGGAATTACATTAACAACTATAGGCTGATGGACTTAGGTTATAAAGGTAGCAAATTTACTTGGTCAAATCATAGGAAAATTCTAAATGGATTAATTATGGAAAGACTTGATTATTTCTTTGCTAATGAAGAATGAGCTAAATTATTTTATAACACAATAGTGACTCACCTACCCAAAACCTATTCCGATCATAAACCTCTACTCTTAAACATTAACTCCTTTTCCTATGAACCACTTCATAAGCCTTATAGATTGGAAAATATTTGGTGCACGCATCCTGATTTTATTAATTTGGTGCGCAATAACTGGCTTAGTTCTAATCTTATAGAAGCCACGCATAGGTTCACAAAATTAATGTCTCCAATTGGAGTAAGGAGACCTTTGGTGATATTTTTAGGAAAAAGAAGAGAATTTTTTGGCTCGTCTCAAGGGCATTCAAAATTCTCATAACTATGTCTCTAGCTCCTTTCTCCAAAATCTAGATTCTCTCTAAAAGAAGAATTCAATAATATCCTAAAATTGGAGAAGTACTACTGGAGACTTAGATCACGAATATCTTGGCTTAATGATGGTGATGCTAACACAAGATTTTTTCATATAATAGCTTCTAATAGAAGAAGAAGAAATCACGTTAGTTTATTTAAAGATGACTAAAGGAATTGGATTGATAACCAAAGAGATATCCTTGCTCATGCCCAAAGTTACATTGAAAATTCTTTCGCAACCTCCCATGGCCTTACTAAAAATATTGATGCTATAAGTGGTTTAGTTAGACTTGACTCCCTGCCTAAGAAATGTTATTGAAGGTCCCCTAACAAAAAAAGACTCTTCTCTAACTATCAAGGTCCTTATTAAGCAAAACAATTAGGCCCTGAATAATATCTCGTTGATTCTGCCAGACGATATAGTTGGGAAAATTTTCTCTATTAATTTACCAATAGATAGAGGCATGACTATTTGATTTGGGAACCAATAGCAATGATTTATTCTCTACAGCTTCTTGCTATAATCTAATTGAATCAGATATGATACCGACCAAAAGTTTTAGTTTGATTTGGGAAGTATACTATCCCAACAAATTAAAATCCTTCTATGGATGTTACCATAATAGACTACCTTGCAGATCCTATCTCCACCATATAGGAATGAACGTAGACAAAGTTTGCACTATTTGTCGTAATATAACGATATTGAGGACATCTCCCATATTTTCATTCACTGTTATATAGCAAAAAAAAATTGGCAATCCCTCAATCAAAGCATCAACTAACCAAAGTCTGAGGATCACCTTTAGCTTGATAGATTAAGATTTTCTAATCCTACCATACCCTCTAAATTGATTACTTGGTCTCAATTTTTCCCTTTCGCTATTTGGAATCTTTGGCTTAATAGAAATAAGATTGATACAATACCTCTAATTATGTTTCTATTCCCTTAATCATCAAACAAACTACAAAATTTGTTCTCCTAACCAGTCGAGAAAGTTGTCCTTCAAGGAAGGTTAACTGTGACACTAATTGGCATAAACCACGTACTGGATTGTTTAAGCTTAATGTGGATGGAGCTTTCCAAAAAAACATGGAGGCATAGGTGGATTCATAAGAAACAGTGTTGGCAACTAGATTCTAGGATTCCATGAGGGAATACTGGCATTAACATGTTCACATATGGAAATTCTGGCCCTCCAATTTGATCGCACGAGCAAGTCTGTATGATGTTTTTGGACTTGCGTGCATGTTTGGTTTGGAGCCCCGAGGTCTCGGGTGTGTTTTGGATAGGCCAGGAGTGAAATTGGACTTAGGGGAATTGCTGGTGTGTTGCAGATGTGTAGCAAGCCTCTGATCTCGCAGGGTCCGCAAATGCGAGAATTCCATCGCAAATGCGAAGAACCCAAGGCCATCATTGTCTCGCAAATGCGAGGTATACTTCGCAAATGCGAAGTCTTTAGCACATGCCAGAAGTTGCAAATGCGACACTTTTATTGCAAATGCGACTGGTCCCTCACAAATGCGAAGGTGACCGGATTTTTCCAGGGTCGCAAATGCGACATATTCTTCGCATTTGCGAAGATAGCAGGTCCTGAAGGGGTTTGCAATTGCAAACCCTAGTCGCAATTGTGACATCTGAGACCAGTTAATTTGGACTTAGACGCATTTTTCTTCATTTTTCAAACCTTCTCAAAACCTAAACACTTTTGGGCGATTTTCTAAAGAAAAGTTCTTCTCCAAACCAATTGTAAGTCATTTCTACCTCATTTTCTTTAATCTATAACATCTTTTCACATGATTTCAATCCAAAATCAAGGGTTTTCATGGGGAAAATTAGGGGGTTTGAGTAGAACTTAGGATTTTCAAATTTTGGGGATTTGGACCTCGATTTGAGGTCCGATGTCAAAATAAATTATATATTTGAGTTCGTGGGTGAATGGGTAATCGGGTTTTGGTTCGAACCTCAGGTTTTGACCATGTGGGCCCGGGGTCGATTTTTTACTTTTTGGGAATAACTTTAGAAAACCTATTTTCATGCATTAGAATTGATTCATTTAGCATTTATTGATATCGTTAAGTAAATTGTGCTAGATACAAGCAAATTGGTGGTGGAAACAAGAGGTAAAGCGGTAGTTGAGGCTTGAATTGTGTTCGTGGCATTGAGGTAAATGTTTGGTCTAACCTTAGCTTGAGGGATTAGGAGTTGTGTCTTATTTGCTATGTGTTAATTGTTGAGTACGACATATAGGCATGGTGAAGAGTATTTATACGTCGGTGTCAAGCATGTCCGTGAGTCTTATATTATGGTAAATGTGACTCCGTTTCGTATTGATCATGCTTTATATGATGATTTTTAAGTATTATCGGTAATTGAACATCGTAGAGCGTTGGCTCAAGTTATGAATTGAGTTGTGAAGTAATTATGGAAAAAGAGAAGAGGTTTATGATTTTGTCTCCCTTGCCGGGATGTTATTGCTTTTGATATTGTTTCCCTTGCTGGGATATTGTTGTTATGCTATTGTTCCCTTGCCGAGATTCTACTGTGATTTTATTGATTCCCTTGCCCGTATTGCTTTGTGATTGTTGTTTGGGTAAGGAAGAGTGTAAAAGCACGAAGGGTGATGCCATGCATGATATTTGTGAGAGAGTGTTAATCCACGAAGGGTGATGCCGTGCCGATATTGTAAGGTTAAAGCACGAAGGGTGATGCCGTGTCGCATGATGTACAATGCCGTGCCATGATATGAGTGATAATGTACGAAGGATAATTCCGTGCCATGATTATGTGAGGTAAAAGCACGAAGGGTGATGCCGTGCCGATTATATTGATTCTTATGGTGAGGACGAGAGTAAAAGCACGAAGGGTGATGACGTGCACTTGTCTTTGACTTCCTAATTCTTGCTGATAATTGAGTTATGGTGTTCTTTACGTTTATTTATTGGTTTTCCGTTGTTACTCGATTTCCCCGCAGCATGTTTTCCCCCTCCTATCTTTACCTGTAAATTTTTGCCTTTACTTTTCCGATGTATATGATTTAACTGCACAGGTTTATTTGGTAGTCTCGTCCTAGCCTCGTCACTACTTCGCCGAGGTTAGGCTAGGCACTTACCAGCACATGGGGTCGGTTGTGCTGATACTACACTCTGCACTGTGTGCAGATCCTGGTGCTGCAGCGTTTGGACCACAGTGAGGTTGCTGCTTCCAGTCCCTCAGGCGACCCGAGGTAGTCCTGCAGGCGTCCGCAGGCCTTGGCGTCACCTTCTATCATTTTCTTCCTGTTTTTACTTATTCAGACACAGATTCGTGTATTCTATTCAGACTTTATTTGTAGTATTCATAGATGGTCTGTGACATTGTGACACCAGATTCTGGATAGAGTTGTACTTAGACTTCGTAGTTTGTATTAATCTAAACTATCAAATTTCGTCTTCCGCATTGTTTTTGTTATTATTATTTTCGCTGCTTTTGTTATGTTGCTTTAAAATTGTTAAGGAATTAAAAATGAAAATGGTTAAATAATCGTAATAATTGGCTTGCCTAGCTTTCACTAGTAGGCGCCATCACGACTCCCGAGGGTGGAAAATCCGGGTCGTGACATCTATGGCCGTGTAAGATAGAAACCGACTCAACCCAGGTAATTGAACTATTACAGGAAGGCAACACCTCTTATGACTTTCTTTTGCAATTCTGCAGGTGGTTGATATCTAGGAAGGGGAAGGAGCTGGTGATCCGGCATAACTTTCGCCAATGAAATGAAATAGCTCACTTGTTGGCACAGGAAGGAGCTAGGCAACCGAAGCATGATGGTTTAGTTTGCTATGTAGTAACCCCTACCTTCGTTGAACCCAGGATGCTGGCGGACAAGGAGGGTTTTTCATCTACCAATCAATAAGTTAGTTAGTGAAAGTAACTGTAGGAAGCTTGCAAAAATTGGCAACCTTAATGCCATACAAGGCCTTTCAGCTGTTTGTAATGATCCTTTGGATCTTTTGTCAGACTTTACATAGTTTAAAGTAATAAATTATTCCAGTTTCAAAAGAGAAAAAGAAAAAAAGGAGAAGCAGCAGGGAAGAAGCACCAGCAATAGAGAAGAAAGTGTCTAAAGTATAACAATGGGCTATTACTAACCAGCCCAACTAATTAACATCCTTAATTTATTTAGTTGTTCTTTTATAATTTGTTTAAGTGCTAAATTAAATTAACAAAAGACTTTTCTTTTATTTATCATAATATATCAAGCCAACCAGATCTAAAAATATTGTTCAGGAGATAGTGCATTAAAACAATACGTCAAACAGAAATTTTAACTTCTAAAGGATGTGTTCCTTTCAATTAGAAGAATAGTTAGCCGTAGGAAAGGCTATCTATTCTATAAATAAAATATAGAAAGTTTAACTCAATGAACGTTGGAGAAAAGTTGCTTTTATTGCTATAAAAGAAAATTCAACACACAGCTAGCCTCTCTATGTATCAACACCCAAGAAAAAGCTTAGATGAAACAAGAGCTAATTAAGATCTAACTAATAAACTTGTGTACAAACACATTTTAGGATTAGGAAAGAGTAAAACAAAGGAGTGGCAAGAATATTTGTGCAATAGTGCACTGAAATCAATGCCAATTCCAAACTCGAAGTTCTAATATTGTCTTAAGCAGCTTCCACTGTTTGCAGCTTGGGCGGTGTGTTCTCATGAGCTTTAGCTGCACATGTAGTATCATGCGGACACGACTCTACGTGAGCTTTATCTGAGCAAACCATTAAACCAAGTTTCACTATATCAATAATCTGTTCTTGTGTTAGTTCTGGAAGCTTCTTGTTGTTCATGTTCTCGTCCAACAAAATGACTGCTGGCTTTTGTATCTCCGGAAGTTTCTGCTCCTTTAGAATTGCCTTCTCTTTTTTGCTGTATATTACGTAGAGCACTATTTGGAGAATACCAAAGACGAATCCCAATACGTTTGGAGCCTACAAAAGATAACAAGTACACTTAATTAGACTTACATTGATGAGATCCAATAAATTTTACGTACGTGGATACATGCAATTGAAGAACTTACAGCTATGTTGATGTCCTTAAGTAGAAGACCATAGAAGAACCACATCACTGCACTTAATGTGAGAAAAACTGATAGGAGTAATGGCATGTATTCCACACTCTTTGTTTTTATAACTTTTCTCTGCATAAAGTGAGAAAAAATTTCAGCATTATATTCTTCACGCATGGGAAAAAAAATAGAGAAGACGACCAATATTTGTATGCAAAAGCTCACCACAATGCCTAAGGGCGCTACGAACACACATAAGGAGAACACAAGGCAAATCCATCCAACAACTTGTCCACGAACTGCTCCTTTGAATAGAAATTGGGTAACCAGAACTATAGCACCAAAGCCACCCACCACTGATAATAGGAGCATCTTCACAGTTTGGACCTGCATTAATTAAATTTTTAACATCAAATATTCTTCCTTTATAAGGAAAAGAAACGATGGAAAATAAGAACTCCTAAAAAAGGAAAAAAAATAGTTGTCCAGTGGATGCCATGAAAAAAACCTTACCTTGGCCTTCTTTGGTGCGTAGAAAAGGTAGAAACCAACGTAGATAGTTTCAATGAAAACCCCAAAGGAGTTTATAGTGATGAGAAGGGTCGTGTTGGTCTTGAGAAATGCATAGTATATCCAAAGCATGGAACTGAATAGAGCAATCACATATGGAATTGATTGATAACCTTCAGCTGATTTCTTCTTGTAAATTTTGTAAAACGTGGGCCTGGCAAAAATGCGAAAATATTGTGTTAAAATAAAAGCCAAAAAAAAGTTACCATATTAAAATAAAAAAGAAAGCAAGTGGAAACTTACATTGGAGAAAGGAATACAATGAATGAGACGATGTTACCTGCAAGTTTCAAAAGAAATAAACAAAAACACGATAAGTTTATAATACAAATATTTGACCATATATTTTAGAAATTAAACAAATGATTTAGGAGAAACACGTAAATAACTTAAAAACATATGCTAGTACGACGTAGTGACTATCACATTAACTACTTGTAGATGTGCTCATATTTACCAAGGCCTAAATATTATGATTAGTTATTATACATTACATGCACACTGGGTCTTCACTAATATTCTTCTCTTGACGAATACTATGACGAAATATAGGTGTGAAAATAATCAGCTGAAAGAAAAACAATAATGTCAAGAAGGTAAAAGAGGCTATATTTACCAAGGACACCAAAAGCAAAAGCCCAGTGATCTGTAGAAAAACCAGCCATATTCTCTTTTTTTGTATTTCTAACCAAAGAATTTCAAATCTCTAGCCCTTTCTCTATTGCTCGCTCACAAAGAAGTGCCAAGAGTTGCAAAAGACTAGCAAGTTCTACTTGAAAGTGAAATGAGAAGGTCTTGGTTGATGCATTTATATAGGGTAAGGGGTGGGAAAGTAGGTGCTACAGTAAAAGATCTTTTGTTCTCTATTGTTATTTGTATAAATATTTTATTTTATTTAAGAAAATGCAAAAGTGCACACTGAAGAGGTGCAATGGGCAATATCAATTTCAAGGGTCCCAATACTCTCTTTTATTATGTCATTACCCAATCCTTAGGGGCACTAAGGCTTACAACTCATGCTTTATTTTTTTGGAGGGGTTTGATTTTAATGTATTTCTCTACAAAATGAACTCTTAATCAGCTAAAAAACAAAACCAGAAATGATTGAAGGACCAATCAATGGTTTCCATTTGGCATCAATAATAGAGTTTGGGACATAGAGTTGTGGCTCTATTTCATGAGAAGATCAATTTGCTGCAATGGCTGATGAAAAGCAGGATATGCTTCGCTTTGCATTGCTTTACTAGACTTTATCTTGTCCTGGTGGGTTGTCATTTATCTGTATAGTGTATAACGTAAGTAAATAAATATATGGAACCAACTTTCTTTCATAAATTTGTATATTGCATGCTTGTTACATGTTTATCATAATATGCTTCTATTTACGTGAATTAGGCTTAATTGATGCCTCTGTTTTAAAAGGCAGAATTGGGACTCGCCCGGGGCTCGCCCCGGGGCGGAGCACTCGTATAACGCCCCTGGACTTATGTGTGGGGCTTAGTTCCGTGAGACTTACGCCTCGGCCATCGGGGCTTATGCCCCGAACACGCCCAACGCCCAGCGTACTGGGCTCGCCTAATAGAACTTTANTATACACACGCGCTATATTTTTTGCACTCTTTCATAAATTTGTATATTGCATGCTTGTTACATGTTTATCATAATATGCTTCTATTTACGTGAATTAGGCTTAATTGATGCCTCTGTTTTAAAAGGCAGAATTGGGACTCGCCCNAGCTAGTAACTATTTACAAATAATTAGTTATCATGATATTGTATGGTGAATTATGTGTCACTTTATTAACTTGTTGAAACTTAAAAATAAATGATGCTAGAGAATCATATTTAAATTGTGAATTATGTTTTTATATAAATTCTCTTACAAATAGAAAGCATGTTAAATAAAAGGAGTATTTTAAGAAAAATATCAAATTTTAATATCGAAATTCTTTCAAGATTCATTACTCCTTAAGAGATACATATAAGATTTCGTATCGAATACATTACTTTTGATGTTTGAGTTGTAACGACGTTGCAACTAATTTGCATATTATGATATTTGTCATACTTTTCTTATTATTCATAGTTGAATTATAATTTATAAATATTTTAAATAGATTATTTGTTATAATTTTGTGATTTTAATGTAATTTTTACAATTATTTTATATTTTATACTATCTTAAAATTCTTGAAATTAGTAAAATTTAAAGATCCGTGGGACTTACGCCCCATGTCTCAGGGCTTACGCCTCGCCTCGTCAGAGCTAAAACGCCTCGCCTCACGCCCGCACCTTTTAAAACATTGATTGATGCCAGCCCACAACCACTAAACAAACCGTACAAATTTTTAAAAAATTATTTTTAATACTTTTAAGAGAGTATTAGGCCTTCTTTTATTTCGTTTGGCTCGATAAGTTGTTGTTCTTTTGGTGCTTTATGTTATTAAACAGCAAACTTTTCCAATTTTTTTTTCCTTTTTCTTCTTTTTTTCTTGGATGAGATACATTTTCTTTAGACAAGAACGGACTAAACTTTAGGGTTTTGTGGACACTGTTCTCTCAAATTGAACAGCCACTACATATGTCATGCATGAATTAAGCTTTTCTCAATGATTGAACAAATTGATGCAATTTCATATCATCTTCCCCTCTTGCTTTATAAATTTTCTTTTGGGGATCGTGTTGAATGTACCGTTTGATGATCTAAATCAAAGGTTGATTATATTTTACCATAAAGCTAAGGTTGTGTTGCCACTTTGAAATGTCTTGCTTTAATCTTAGTAGTACAATAATAATACCATGTGTACACATTGCTTGCCTTACGATTTTGATGATTTCATATATAAAAAGAAGGATTAAACAATTGAGAGATTGAGATCAAAAGATGCAATATCAAATCGTCCAAATTGCGTGGGAAACTCAAACTTTTATTCTTAGGTAACTAAAGGTCCTCCCTTCCCTCCCCACATACACACTTAAAATGAAGCACACCTTTAATTTCTTTACTTAAAGCGTATTTAACTTTTAGCCTAAAATAACATGACATTCCAAAATCATGATGAATTTCTAGTCACTGATTCGAAAAATATATTACATTCCTCACGAATTATTGACCCGGTTAAAAGATGGTGACTAAGTAATATAAATTCTGATAAAACGTAATTTAGTACGTAGGAGTTGGGAATAATATGTTTTGATCATTTTACATAAAACCGACCAGTACAAAGTTCCATCTATATTCAAATTCTCAATTTGTCGACCACTTTGTGTTTGGCAAATAAAAACCAATTTTGCACGCTTGAGAAGGTGGCATTTGGTCAAAGGCATCAGAGAATCTAATCTCAGTATAATTCCCTAGCCAACATAATGTAAATTAAGTAGGCATCAATAATCCAATATGAGTTATTTAGTGCATTTTAACTTCCATGAAGCGGTAAACTATCATCTGGAGCTGGAATACGAGCTTTCACTATGCGTTAGTCAGGCAATATTAAAGATGTTTGTTTACCCCTTAAAATGGATTACAATTAACGGTTTAAAGGATTTGTAGTTTAATTTAACACAAATGATCAAAGAATAGTAAATAGGTGAATTGAAATAAGATAAAATGATCAAATCAAAGTGACAGAGTAATTAAGCCTTGTATTTAGCTTAAAGGCCAAAGGTTGGTCTCGATTGAGCCCTCGAGATAGAGCTCGGATCTGAATAAACGAGTGAACAACTGAAGAACACTTAAACAATTGCTGAGAATCAAAGTAAATTTTATTGCCTTATTATACGTGAAAGCAGTCCACCAAATAATGAAGGGGTCCTCCTCTTTATATACTAGAGGAGATTTAACCCTAGTACAAGTCAAAATAAGGAAAAAATCTTTTCCTTCCTTATCTCCCACGAAAATAAGATCCGTATCCAATATCGAGTGTGATCCGCAACGTAATTCTCGGCTAATGGCGGACCTTTTGGCTCCCCGTTTGTCTTCTTTAACCGGCATTTCTTTACCCTTGATTCTTCATCTCACTCGAGCTTGATTCCCTCTGGGTTCGGCCGTGCTCGAGATCCGTTATATCATTCGTCCGTTCTTGGTTCCGATCTATGGGTATATTCGGTCTCACTCGAGCCAGTAACAAGTAACATCGTTCTTCGCTTCACAATAGAAAATTGGAGGTAACTCTATCATCGATTTTAACCGTATACAATATTGAACGCCGAAAAATTAAAGTTCTACTCTCACATTCATTGCAACTCAATGTCTTCGTTTTAGCTTAATGTCTGATCATGAAATATAGTGAGATGGACGAAAAATCCCTCCATCTCAATCAATGATTCTGGGTGGTTTGAGATTAGCAAAATCAAAAAATTCTTACTCCCTCTGTTTCACTATATGTGATACTTAAAATATTATTTAGGAGTCAAATAAGGTTTGTTTAATCACATTTTTTGCGAATAGCTTTTTATCAATTATGAATTGTTAGCTATTGTGACTTATAATACTTTTTATGTAGTTTAAATATATAAATTTTTGTTCAAAATTGAAAAATTCTACGTGCGAATTCGCACTACAAGTTAGTCACTTTGCCTCTAGTACTCCGAAAAGGTTTATGTAAACTGGCACTGGGGAATATTAACGAGAGATTCTCCTTTGATAGATCTTGCTCGACAAGAATCCAAATGAGTTGGCATAAATGGTACCAAATGACTAAAAATGAAAACTCAAAGTCTTGACTCTTCAAACTAGCCGTACAAGTACCCTTCTCCCTTCTAAGGCACTAATAGCTAGGGAGTAGTAAAGGGGTGGAAAGACATCACATGCATTCCTTTCTGTCCTCCAATAACCTTCTCTCATAAAAAAATTAAAAATATTTTTTTGTTTGGGTTTACTCATGTCGAGATTCGGTATTCATATTGGAACCCAACTATATTCGAATTCGCATTGCGTAAGACCGATTAAGGGAGAAGCACTTCCCAATAGGATTTTTTCCATACTCAGGATTAGAACCCAATATCTCTGGTTAAAATGTGACGGGATCTTATCCATCCCACGACAACGCATGTTGCTAAAGTTAAAAATACTACGAATGAGTACTAAGTATTAAAGAAGTAGAAGAAGAATCTCCAATGGTCAAGGAATGGTTCATCTCACAAGCCTTGGCATCAACAATTGATCAACACCATTCTTTCATTCTTTTGCAGAACGCACTTTTCATTTTTTAAATAAGTTTCCAAGTGGAACCTGGGTTGCAGTGATCATAAGAAAGGTACAATTGAGAGGGTGTAAAGATCGCAATTTTATGTGAAATAAAATTTGAGATTATGCACTAAGGTGGAGAGTAAAACTAGACCGTTACTTCGATAAAACAACATTAAATTAAGCTACTTTTGTTTCATAGCTTAGTATGTCGGGGCATAGATTCTCCTACTTTTCAATATTAAAATTAAAAATTCACATCTTAATTTTTTATGTTACCTCTTCAGTTAGACCAATATAATCATGGATGGCACTTCGTGCGAATTTAATGTTCGGCTGTAGTCTGCACCTTGTCCGTCGATCTTTTTGTTTGTCCTTTTGGTTATTAAAAATGATTTCATATTCTAACTTACCATTTGAATAAAACAAATGATCTTAAATATACTTGTGTTATTATTATTAATCTCTTACGAAAAGATCATATAACTAAATTAACATTTAGTAATGGAGTATAAAACCAAATCTTCTTTTCATATGTTTTACCATTGTTTAAGACTAAACTAGTACATACTCGCTCCATCCGATATAGTTTAAATTATGAGGGTCAAATTTCTTGATTTTGATCGCGAATTCAAACATAGATCCTTAATTTTTTTGAAATATAGTTTACATATTTGAAAACTGCATAAAAAGTATTATAAGTCACAATAATTAACAATTCAAAATT